AGCAAGTCCACCTCTGAATGGCTGAAGAAACCCAAAATGAAGACTTTGGAGTGGCCTAGTCAAAGTCCTGACCTGAATCCTATTGAGATGCTGTGGCATGACCTTAAAAAGGTGGTTCATGCTCGAAAACCCTCCAATGTGGCTGAATTACAACAATTCTGCATTGATGAGTGGACCCAAATTCCTCCACAGCGCTGTAACAGACTCATTGCAAGTTATCGCAAACACTTGATTGCAGTTGTTGCTGCTAAGGGTGGCCCAACCAGTTATTAGGTTTAGGGGGCAAACACTTTTTCCACACAGGGCCATGTAGTTTTGGATTTTGTTTTCCCTTAATAATAAAAACCTTAATTTAAAAACTGCATCTTGTGTTATCTTTTACTAATATTTAAATTAGTTTGATGATCTGAAACATTAAAATGTGACAAACATTCAAAAATAAAATCAGGAAGGGGGGCAACACTTTTTCACACCACACTATATATATACTGCATATATGAAAACACAACAAAGCCCCTATAGATATAAAATGGTTTGTGTTGTTGTTGTTTTTTTCCCCTGTTTTTAAAGTCTTTTATGCTCACCAAGGCAGATTTATCTGTTTAAAAATACAGTAAAATTTTAAAAATGTAATTAATTCCTTTGATGCAAATCTTAATTTTTAGCATTCATTACTCCAGTCTTCAGTGTCATATGATCCTTCAGAAATCAATGCTGATTTGGTGCTTTATTATTGTTGCATCCCGTATTGTTTTGGGAGGGATGTTCTCCTCATTATTACGGTATTAACAGTTGTGCTGCTTAGCATTTTTGTGCAAACCGTGATACATTATTTATCATTATTCTTTGATGAACAGAAAGTTCAAAAGAACAGCAATTATTTGAAATAGAAACGTTTGTAACATTATAAATGTCTACACTTTTGATCGATTTAATGCAGTCTTTGCGGTGTATGTAAATGTTCATTTGTCTGTGGTCTCTGGATGAATACAAATCCCCCAAATTTTGAAGCACAGTCCAAGACAAAATGACAATGATGCACTTTATTATGTCATAAAATACTTTAAAACCTTCTTATAAAAAGCACAGGGACACTGAACACTTGTTTAAGGAAGAATCAAGAAGATTCTGCCAGCCTGCAGTGGCCCACGGAAGCGCTAAAAACCGGGGTCAGAGTCTAGAGTTTCCACTGATCAGGAGGTGAAGAGAGACTCCAGGACCAGAGCAATATGTGAGCTCCGACTCAATTTCCGAATCGAGACAGCTTGTTCCTGTGGTCAGTGGAGCGCAGCTGTTCTCCCTGTCTTCTCTGTCATCGGTTCACCTGACTTCATTCAAAGTCCCAAGTGAAGAAATCTGGCAATTCTATCACATTGGCAGACCTGGAAAGCTTGCTTGAGGTCTCTTAGGCAATATGTGTTTTCCTGACAAAAAAATTCTATGTTGCAATATATTGTTTATAGGCATATCTCATCAAAATAACCTCTGAAAATAGAAATCTCTGATTTACTCATATAGGATATATATTTATAATATATAACATTTACCTCTGTGCAGTCTTCTCAATGCCTCAAATGATGAAAGCAGCCTTAAGCAACGTGATCTCATGTTCTCCATTCAAGGATTTGTTTGATAGTTGGCTTTATACAGTGTATGCTTGTTGGCCTTCACTTGTTATTATTTACAGTCAAACATATGCATTCCTCCCAAACTGCCTGCCAGAGAAGCTCTGGTCTGGAGGGTCTTTCTGAGGAGTCTCGGGCTTTCTGCCCATCTTTGTGATCTTGGTTCGTGTTGATATGAAGGATGTGGCGCCGTTGTAGGAGTACTCCCTGTCAGAGAGGAGAATGATTTCAACCCATTACAGCCATTGTTGGTATTGTTAAGTAAAACTATTAAAAACCATTTTGGTGTTTGAAGCTAAAGCTCAAATAAAATAAATATTAGTGAAAAATTTAAACTTGGAAAACTTTAAACCTAAAAAAATGTTGCCTTGGCAACTAACAGTAAAAAATAAGTTGAAATAGTAATAAAATTATTTAAAATTAACACTGAAATAAAAACAAACAAAAGCTATACACCGTAATATATATATATATATATCTGTTAAATTAGGGCACATACCGTATTATCAATGTGAAGGAATTTTCCATATTTATTTTTTACAGGTGTTTTACCTGTATTTTGAATTTTGCTCTTCATTGTGTTGAAGAGAGATTTTCCAGGCAGAAAAATACCAGTACATTTTATATATATAATGATAATACTCAAATAACACTGATTAGACAGCGTCTAATCATCTTCTTTTTTTTCTATTTATAATGTTTTGTTTTTTGTTTGTTCATTTGTTTGTTTTTCGCCAACCTGCTGACCACTAGAATTAAAAATATAGTTTCTGGCTTCGGCTTCTTTCCCATGCTCCCGCCAAAACATCTGTTCTGGGAGTATGTAAGTTTGGTGAGCAGGTACGAAATGCCACGAAAAGAGCGGATTGCTTTACGGCAGCAGCAAATGCATGTTGAGCTATCCACTGTAATTATGACAGTGACATATTTACCACAGTAAATTCCACTCCCTTAACCGTTGAGGGAAGTCACAAAACTACATACAGTTGCTTTAAGAATATGTTAAAATGACTTAAATTAAAATCCTAAACTTAAATGACATGGATGAGATAAATAGGCATTGTTGCCATGGGCATTCATTTGTTAATATCGGTTGCTGACATGAAAATGACAAATTATATGACCTTAGAAAAATTCAGACTCCTTTAAAACAGGTGACACAGTATGTAAGTGGAAAATCTAAGAATCAGACCTGATGCTGAATCCCTCTGTCATGGAAAAGCAAAAGATAAATCCTCCAAGAATGCTGAGAACAGATCCTGCCCAGCCAATGAACAGGGCCGCACCAAGCTCAAATCTAAAAGCAGACAGGCCAAAGACCGGTGTTGGTAAGAAATAGGATGCATACTAGCAATTACAGCAATGTTACTTACTTCTGTTTCACAAATAAGGGGTCAAAGAACTCTGATGTTATCCGGTGTGCGTAGAGAGAGCAGGCGGTCATAGAGCAGATTCCTGCAGAGAGGACAGGTATATAATTACAGGACACTGTCATTTGCAAAAGTGATCATTGCAAATGCTTAAAAAAAAAGAAAGAAACATGACCTAGGTCAGGCGACATTTACCACTGAGAATGAAGTGTAGTCCACACAGACAGGTGATCCTGGCTTTGGTGGTCTCTGATCCCCCTATTTTAGTGCACTTCATGCCCACTAGTGCCAGGATAGCTCCAAAAAATCCCAAACACACAGCTGAGATCATCAGTCCACGACACACCTGGATATAAGCTGCAGGAACAGCAGAAGCCATATACATTTTCTTTTACAATAAGAAAACAGTTTTTTTGTTGTTGTTGTTGTTGTTGTTGTTGTTGTTGTTGTTGTTTTGATAGCAATTTACATATAAAAGAACACTTGATGAAATTATAAAACTTATAAATGTAGAATAATTTATAACATCATGTGTATAATTATAATGTTATGATTATTATTATAATTGTTTTTATGTAAGGTACTTTCAAATGCCATAAATGTGCTATATAAATAAACTTGCCATGCTTGCCATATATATATAGTATTCTAGATTTTTTTTTATAATAAAATTTTCTTTACAAAGAAGCGGGAAGTTATAGACAGTCAGTCAAACATTTATTATATTTATTAATTATTAAAATACATTTTGCTGGAAAAATGACATACATGCCAAAATATTATGGATTGCTTCATCATTTTCAACGTATTACTACTGGGACCAACACAAGTCATTTTTGCACCTTCAGTAATATCTTATTTATGTTATGATACTACTTTTAAGTGATAAGACTTATCATTTTCATCTGGCAGAAGATCCAAAGCAGTGTTCAAAAAATATAGATTCACATTCACACACCTGAACCACCCAGAATACCTTAATAACCACATAGCAACATGCTAACAACCACTAAAAAAGCCTTAGCAACACCCTAGCATTTTTTTCACTGGGACGAAGTGCAAATTTAGTTCTATTTGGAATTCTGTTTAATGCTGCTAATAGTGCATAATACCTTTAAATGAATGTAGCATCTTCCATTAAACTCTCTAGTTAACCGTCAGGGAGGTCACACCACAAATATGTATGGCCATGTAGAGACATGACAATTATACATTAAAATTATTTAATTGCATCATTCACCTGTTTAAACTGCTTTTGCACGGCACCCTGAGGGAACAAGTTTTCTGTGTCTCTGCATTCCTTAAATCTTCCTTCTGTTTGTGGGTGAGTCATTCAGACATAATTAAACCAATGCATGGTTATTAAACCCTATTTACCTACTTGTTGTAATAAATCAGGGAAATAGAGTTTGAGAATCATTTTGCATCTCTTTTAGCACTAAAATAGTGACTTGCTTCTTTATTGCATTCTCAAACTGGTGTCAGCATGCATCAAGCGCAACTTTATCACAATGAACTCCCTGTTTAAATGTTCAAGTGATCGGTTTGGCTTCGGTTTGTGTTGTGGAAGCTTCTGCCAAAACAGCATTAGGGCAATCCAACACCATGCTACTCTGTTTCCGAACAATTAGACAGCTGCACTTTCTGGAGGTAGGAAAAGGACCGACAAAAGATCAGCAATTCTCATAAACACACACACACACACACACACCATTTACTCAGACAAGAAACAAAAAGTCAACAAATGTTTGAAGAAAGCAATAAAGTACCATCCAGTGCAAGCATAGAAGGAAAGTCCTTGCAGTTGGAGACTCCGGTTGAATCCGTAACGCACGTCTTCCAGAGATTGGACCAAAAGGTTGCCGTGGTGATGACTGTCCCGTCCACTGAGGACACTTTCCAGTAGTCAGTCGGGAGCGTGGAGGAGATCAGAATCCATCCGGATATGGTGAGAAATTTTGTTGTTAATATTTTACTTCTTATGTGTATGTTATAGTTATTTTGATAATAATATATATTATGATATGATTTATAATAATATGATTTTTCATCATCAAATAATTAAAATATATATATATATTTATAAAAATAAAAGCTGGAAGTTATACAGTAACTATAATTATAAAGTGAACTTCAAGACAGTACAAAAAATTATACATTTTTGCTGGAAGAGTGGCAAAAATGGATAAGTGCATAATTTTCAGCATAATTTAAAAGTCATTTTTTTCAATAACATCTCATTTATGTTATGATATTACATTTAAATGATCAGACTTATCATTTTCATCTGGCAGAAGATCCAAAGCAGTGTTCAAAAAATATAGATTCACATTCACACACCTGAACCACCCAGAATACCTTAATAACCACATAGCAACATGCTAACAACCACTAAAAAAGCCTTAGCAACACCCTAGCATTTTTTTCACTGGGACGAAGTGCAAATTTAGTTCTATTTGGAATTCTGTTTAATGCTGCTAATAGTGCATAATACCTTTAAATGAATGTAGCATCTTCCATTAAACTCTCTAGTTAACCGTCAGGGAGGTCACACCACAAATATGTATGGCCATGTAGAGACATGACAATTATACATTAAAATTATTTAATTGCATCATTCACCTGTTTAAACTGCTTTTGCACGGCACCCTGAGGGAACAAGTTTTCTGTGTCTCTGCATTCCTTAAATCTTCCTTCTGTTTGTGGGTGAGTCATTCAGACATAATTAAACCAATGCATGGTTATTAAACCCTATTTACCTACTTGTTGTAATAAATCAGGGAAATAGAGTTTGAGAATCATTTTGCATCTCTTTTAGCACTAAAATAGTGACTTGCTTCTTTATTGCATTCTCAAACTGGTGTCAGCATGCATCAAGCGCAACTTTATCACAATGAACTCCCTGTTTAAATGTTCAAGTGATCGGTTTGGCTTCGGTTTGTGTTGTGGAAGCTTCTGCCAAAACAGCATTAGGGCAATCCAACACCATGCTACTCTGTTTCCGAACAATTAGACAGCTGCACTTTCTGGAGGTAGGAAAAGGACCGACAAAAGATCAGCAATTCTCATAAACACACACACACACACACACACCATTTACTCAGACAAGAAACAAAAAGTCAACAAATGTTTGAAGAAAGCAATAAAGTACCATCCAGTGCAAGCATAGAAGGAAAGTCCTTGCAGTTGGAGACTCCGGTTGAATCCGTAACGCACGTCTTCCAGAGATTGGACCAAAAGGTTGCCGTGGTGATGACTGTCCCGTCCACTGAGGACACTTTCCAGTAGTCAGTCGGGAGCGTGGAGGAGATCAGAATCCATCCGGATATGGTGAGAAGGAAGGCAACGATCTCTGTTGCCATATTGCCCATTTTCCCACGTTCTGTTAAAGTGAAATGCAAACAAAAGTCCCGTTTAAGGCAGGAATGAATAATTTGGTAAGGGGTGCTCAGTCTGGACTGGATTGTCTGTTGATGGGTCTCCCACCTCAAAGTTGCTTTATATTCAGCAGGGAGGGCTCTGGCTACTAATCTTTTCAACAGCTGACCAATAGCCTTTTGTTTTCACATTAACTACACCACACACACTCGCATACGCACCCACCCAAACATCACTCCGCAAGAATCATTTTGAGTGAGTCGGCAAAGATGCTGGAGGTCAGGAGGTGAGTACTTTAAAGATGGCTGTTATTGGAAGGGCCTGAAAAGCCAACGCCTCTAGCAGATATTGGTGAAAAATGTTCAGATAAAAGTCTGATGTGAGAGATGTCATTTTGCATATGGGATTCCTTTGGATCAGTGTTATTTTTGGTATCGCTGGGATACTATGTCATATTTTGAATTTATTCATTTATATTTTTTACAGTTGTTATTCATTTTATATTTTATGTTTTCATTTTCATTTTAGTTGAAATATTTGTCATTTTTTTGTGCATGTGTTTCTCATCAGTATTTATTTATTTATTTTTGCATATGATTCATTTGGACCAGTGTTACATTTTAGTATCGTATAGTATTGATCAATATTTTTTGTGTGTCTCAACATTTTTTTTAGTTTGAGGGTTTATTTATTTAGTTAGTTAGTTTTTGAACAATATTTTGAATTACCTTTTATTTTTATATTTTAATTTTAAGTTTAGTAAAAAAATGTTGCTTTGTGTGTGTGTGTGTGTGTTTGGCATTTTTATTAGTTTTAGTTTTTTGTCATGTAGCTTAAAGGATTCGTTTGGTGTTATTTTTAGTATCATTGGAATGCTATTATAGATTTATTAATATTTTGAATTAGTTTTAATTTTTATATTTTATGTTTTAATTTTAATTTGAGTGAAAGATCAATTATATAATATACATTTTATTTATATATTATTATTTCATTAATTTATATTTCAGTTTTAGTTTTAGTTATTTTAATATATGAAGTTACACTATGAAAAAAATCTGAAATTATAGTTTGGGTTGAAATGTTTACAAATGTTATTTACTTTATTTCAAAAGGTTTTTTAAGTCAAAGTTTTATTTATTTATTCATTTATTTCGTTTATTTTTATTTAACAATAATAATTGGACGAGGTTGAGATTCTAATCTGAAGTTTTGTTGCCATCTAGAGGTAAGAATTTGGGTAGACCGTAGCTCCTTTTTCATATGATGATTCTTTAAAGGGATAGTTCACCCAAAAATGAAAATTCTGTCATCATTTACTCACCCTCATGTCGTTCCAAACCTGTATGAGTTGCTTTCTTATGTTGAACACAAAAGAAGATATTTTGAAGATTGCTGGTAATCAAACAGTTAGTAGTTGCCATCGACTTCCATAGTAGGAAAAAAATATCTTCTTTTGTGTTCAACATAAGAAAGCAACTCATACAGGTTTGGAACGACATGAGGGTGAGTAAATGATGACAGAATTTTCATTTTTGGGTGAACTATCCCTTTAACCATCAAAAAAAGTATGTAATAATATATAAGCATCAGGTTTTGACTTAACACTCCTATTCATGTTTGTGCATTTGTCCTAATAAAATTATGTTTTGTACTATAGTTTGCACATAGAGTGCCTCAAGAACTGGAGAGCGTGAGAGTGCATGTAAAATATCCTCACTGTCTAGAATTTCAGACATGCTTCTGGTGTGCTCACTTCACCTTGAGCTTAAAATAACAGATCTTCACTTTAGTAAAATGTCACCGGTGATAAAAAAAAAAAAAAGAAGAAGACATATTTGTCAAGAATAATTAAAGGGTAAATGTTTTTGTATGAGTTCGAGTGCATGTTTGTGTAACCAGGAGGCACCAGTTAGAGAAGGTCAGATGGGTCTTCCTGCCTGTTCTCAGTCTCAGATCCTGTTAATGGTTTCCCTCCGTCCCCCCAGAGGGAGTTACAAAACATAACCTGACCTGACCAAAACATGAGGCTTCTTCAGTCAACAGCTGCTCGCCTCAGCCAAGAACACATAAATTACAATTATGTAATGTTTCAGGTAGTATCAGTTACATTGATAATTTAATTTAATTACTTATTTATTAGGCCAATATAACAACAATGTCATATCAGGTCCATATCAGGACCATAATGAAACCTATACAAAATCAATAGGCTACAAAAATAAACCAACTAGATTATTTACATGTTCTAAAGAAACTATGAATTTTCACAAAAGTTGGTGACATGATGTTAGGGTGTTGTTGGGATGTTTCTATGTAGATTCTGGGTAAAAAAAAAAAATAGTACAGATGAGTTGTCGATTTTTTATAAATGCATATGATGTGATTCATACAGGAATATACAATAAAAAAATATATAATAATTATATATATATATATATATATATACACACACACATTTTCTTTTTTGAAGGTCCACCCCTAAACCTAATTTTCAATGGGGCGTAAGCAGATCGTACAAAAACATACAAATGTGATTGCATAAATTAGTCACCAAAATCGCCAAAAGATAAAATAGTTACGAATTGCCATGAGAGTGAGTTGGCCCTCCGGTTTATCTGCTCAGAAAAAAGTGCCAAAAGACATAAAACAACTTAGCAATTACTTTAAATTTTTTATTTTTTATTTTTTTCAAATGAATATGTGGTTGCTATTAGTGGTAGTGGTTTACTGGTCAAAAACAATAAAGCTTGGTATCGGGTCAAAAGACATAAGTCTCTTTTTAATGTAAACCTATGACACTGATCTATTACATAGGTCTATGACAACGAAAACTACTAAATAAAAAAAATTCCAAATAACTTTTGTTTCACTAAACATGTTATAGAGACATTCTATGGCTCTTATACCAGTGGGGATGGACGACTCAAAACAGCCTGTAATTGTTTTGCAGGTGAGCTGTTGCTGAGTGATACAAGGTCAGCGAGAACGTCAAACTAAATATCTGCCACCATAGCAACCACAGATTCCCTCAAGGAGATCCCTGTGCTGAGGCACATTAAACACGTGTATCACCTCCAACATGCAATTATATTGTTGCAAATTGCATTTGTGAAATTAATCTTGCCATATGAAAGGGAGAAAGTGGCAGTTTTATAATTGCAGAATCATTCAGATGAGGCAGATTGAAGCATGCTGACTGAGGTATGCAGTTATTCATCTTTAGGAAGTGTAAAGGTCACAAACCTCACATCACAATGACTAAAGATTTTGACTTCTTTGATAAATACGACAGACTTAAATGAGTCACACAAAAGCTAGTTTATATTTGCACGCAAGACTAACTAAGGTTTAACTAAGGTTAACTAAGGTTAACCTGTTTATGACAGAACTCCATGATGACATTCCCGGGAAATTTGACTGAAAAAATAAACGTGACTGTACATGTTTATTATGTGCAATGCAGCTACTGTATTTACACCACACAAATTTGAAGCATATCATTTGGGATGCTCAGACAGAGCTAAGGTTAAAGGAATAATTCACCCAAAAAGGAACATTTGATGAAAATGTACTCACCCTCAGGCCTCAGTTTGTTTCTTTATCAGAGCAGATTTGTAGAAATTTTACATCACTTGCTCACCAATGGATCCTCTGCAGTGAATGGGTGCCGTCAGAATGAGAGTCCAAACAGCTGATAAAAACATCACAATAATCCACAAGTAATCCACACGAGTCCAGTCCATCAATTAACATCTTGAGAAGCAAAAAGCTGCATGTTAAGAAACAAATCCATCATAAGGGGGTTTAAACTGTCGCTAATCCATAATAATGCTTCCTCCAGTGATAAAGTCCATCCCCAGTTGTCCTCTAAAATCAAAATCCACCAGCATATTTTTTTTTTTTAGAACTGTTTTGGACTGTTTTCACTTGTAAACGGTGCTTGATCTGTGCATATTTCTCTCCTGATTCAGACAAGACCACTTTTTCACTTAAGAAAGGATTCACTATTACAGAGGACTCACATTTTAGCAAGAGTTTGAAGTTAAAAATGTCTTAATGATGGAATTGTTTCTTACAAACACGCAGCTTTTTGCTTCACAAGTTGTTAATTGATGGACTGGAGTGGTGTGGATTACTTGTGGATTATTGTGATGTTTTTATCAGCTGTTTGGACTCTCATTCTGACGGCACCCATTCACTGCAGAGGATCCACTGGTGAACAAGTGATTTAAAGCAACATTTTTTGAAATATGTTCTACAAACTCATCTATGGATGGCCTGAGGGCGAGTAAATTTTCAGCACATTTTAATTTTTGCATGAACTGTGCCTTTAACAGTTGGCCTCTTTCAGTGTTACACAGCGATACGGGGGGAAATGGGACCTGTTTTAGAATATAAATTATGGCTCTAATTTTCTTATGTAACCTAGAATAAAACAGAGAACAGTATGAGAACAGTAAGGAATCCACAAGCTTGCTGTGTTTTCAAACACTGCTATGAACATTTGATTTCCAACTGACCACAAATTCCCAGAATTAAGATAATCACCAGATTCTATTATAACCGAAATGCTGCTGATCCATGTTTTATTGCTTTTTTTTCTGGGTCAGTTTTCCAGCAGAAATATGTAATCCCTTACTGGAGCTTGGCCTCTGGTGTAAAGTTCACATTTAAGATGTTCACATTTCACATTTAAGCAAAGTAATAATGACTCAACAGTCAGGCTTTCTTTGCAATGCAGAACATTGCGTGTAAGTCAATCATTCCTGATATACAGCTGTGACCCCTTGCAGCCCCTTGCAGATTATGTTCGGCTGATTCTTGGAGGCTACAGAAAAGGGCTTCCCTTCTCACGTGTGTGTGTGTGTGTGTGTGTGTGTGTGTGTGTGTGTGTGT